AACTCCCTGCATAATTATAATAAAGCAATTTATATGCATGAAACAAATGGAGCAATATGGCAATTGCCATACTGCTACACTTGTGAAAGTAAAATCTTTTGGGCTCTTTTTGGCATCAAGACAATTATTCTTATTGCCACCTTGCCAGACAGGACACTGTTAAAGAAAATAAATAAATAAAACTTTGTATATATTTTTTTACAATCTTGGTATAATTGCTACTCAGAGTGGGTCACTCTGTCAGCTAAAGGCATAAGTTAGAGTCTCTATCCTCCAGTTAACGATTAAGCGATTACTAAATTAGCTGATAATTTCAATAATCTATTAATCGATTAATCTAATTAATTATTTCAGTCCTATTTATGGTTGAACCAACTTAGATGTAGTCGACTCCCCCTGATGGTTTAGGAGGTCTGAATAAAAACTTGGTTTTTCTACTATGTTTATATGTATTTTGGAGTTTGTACCATCTATGTAATGGCAGCACGTTTCCTGTTTGTTTTCCTATAAGAAAAATGCTTATTAGAATTTATTTACATGAATAAAGTTTAACATTGTCAGCATATCATTTTGAAAAATATCTGGATTTTAGGGTTTCTTATAAACTTCTCTTCAGATGGTTAATATATTTCTGCTCCATTTCCATCGGGTCATCATTTCCACCTCTCTCTGTTTACGGCTCCAGTCTGATGATGGCAGGGTGCGTCTCGCAGCGCGTGTTTTAAGGAAACATTGGGAATAAAATAAACTGACCTCTAAGTGGAAACCAGAAACACAATTCACAGCTCCAGCTTCCTCCACGGAAGCACAACCCTTTCCTGAAAGGAAAACTGGGCACGGATCAAACCCCCAGCACCCATAACCGGCGCCTGGAAAGTTGGGAGTCTGGTTTCAGATAAGGGCAGGGAGGGAGTTTGCTCTAGTTTCCAGGGGAAAATATTTACAGTGTATAAAAGTTGAATAAAACCAAGAGAAAAGAAATGGATGGGCAGCTGTTTCCTTACTTAAACATCACAGAAACTATATTTGTATTCAACTCCACCCCCACCGCCCCACTGGCAGCTATTTACAGGAGCATCAAGCTGATTGAAACCTAAACCGACCAGAAAGTGAATCAATGTATGATGGGTTTCATCAGTTGGCATTTATCAATAAAAAATGTTTTGCCTCAAAAACAACCTTAAATCAGGAAATAAATCTTGTAAATCTGCCCCAAAACCTTCTAAAATGTAATCATTCTCAGCAAAGTTTTATTCTGGGGTTGGAACATGAAAATATGTGAACATCTGGTGATCAGCTGAATCAAAACGAGGTTTAGAAGAAGGCTTTGGTGGAGCTAATGGGCAACCCTGAATTTCTACATCTATGGGCAGAACTTACAGACTAGAGATCAACCAATGAGGTTTTTTATAAAGTTAAAAGAGATTATTTGACATCAGCCTAATCAAGCCCTGATATGTGCTGCTGATTAAGTTAATTTAGCTTTTTTTCTCCCCCTCTTTTTACGTGTTAAAAAATATACAAATGTGACATTGGTTCCAGTTTAAACAAGAAACTGGAACCAATGACAAGGCAAACCTTTAAGCCATAAAAGATGCTGACAGGAAAAAATAAGAACCTGCTTCTGGGTTCAAATCTGCATCTACTGGCTGGATAGAAACAATCAGAATAACTAACAATGGTTTGGAGGAGAGGAGAGGATTCAGAGTCAAACATCATGGAGGGAAGGCGACCTCTGAATATGTCAAAGTCAAAGATCTCGGTCTTTAAACTATAAACCTCCTGATCCTTTGGGAAACAAGTCTAAACCCAGAACTGAATCCAGTTTAAGATGAAACCTGAAAGCATCCAGAGAGAAGCCAACAAACTAAGCAGGCACAGCATCAAGAAACCCACATAATTCCAACCCAAACATGTTTTCATCTACAGCAGGGAGAAATGAAAACAGCTGCAGGTCCACCAGTAAGATACTGGGTCAGAAACCAGCAGTGGAGGCTGGCCAATAGAGGGAGCTAGGGAGCCCCCGTTGACCCGTGATTCAGACATAAAAAAATTCATATATATTTTATTATTTAATTTTAAATTAAAAGTTTATATATTTCGAAACATATCAATATATATCTTTAGTTGCGCAAGATAAATATTTAATCTTTAATGACGAGTAAAGCGTCATTTCATTTTCCGTCGGATTGGTGAATTATTTCAATTGCAAAAATGTTTACCCATTGACTCGTTAAAAGTTGTACAGGTGCAGTAGCTGCTCTGCAAAACAAATGTAGCCTAAAGGAGAGCTCAGGACGCAGCTATGCTGTGACCTGAGGTGACAGGAAGTGCATTTGCTCTCCACCTCCCGCCACAGCGCAGACGTTTTACGGGTGATTGACTGGTTGAGTCGTGGGATTTAGAGACGCATTGGAGAGAGAGAGAGAGAAATGGTGCAAGATACGTCCTTTTCCAGGACCTGGTTTAGTTACAGGGCTTGGCTAACTGCATGCAGTAAGGCTAATGCTCTATCCTGCTTTCCCTGCCTCCTTTGTTAATTTGCATAGTTGGTCTTAAATAAACACATTCTCTGAAAAGAAATAGATTTATGAATCAAAAAAAAATATAAACCTGACTAATACCTTCTCCACTATTAAACTGGTACATTATTTTTTTAGGTTTGTGACACAATATTGGACCGTTTAAAACACAGATATGCCTTCACAAAGCCTCAGAAGGACAAGATTTATGGACAAAAAGTAAACCTGTAGATGAAGTTATGCTATGTTTTTATAATGTTTTTTGTTGTTGGCATTTATATAAATATACTGGTGTGATAACTTAGTATACGTTTGTTTGGTTGTTGGTATACGTCCATTTTTAATTTATATCCCCACCCCCTGGAGAAAACTCCACCAGCTGCAACTGGAAACTAGTCCATAATTCGTTAGCCTCCAGTTCAGCTGAGAAACCAAAAGAACAGAAGTTCTGTAATAAAGACACTCCGTCTGGTCAGGTGATGATACACACCTTCAACAAGATGGCCGCCTGCTGAGGGTAAAACATGGAGGCACTGAGGGCCATGAGGCCCACTGGGAACACCAAGCGCTTGGTCCTGGAGCCTGAGAGGAGACAACACCATCATTCCTGTTAGAGAGGCAGACCTAGAGCGAACAGAACTTACCCTAATATCTGAAACATCTGGTTTGATCACATCTATGAGGACAAAGAGACACCTTTAGCTAAAAACAGTCCCAGGAAGCCAGAGAATCCGATCACCCCCAGGCTGGGATAGAGGTCCGGAGGCGGCTGGCTGAGGAAGCGATACGCATCTGAAGGAACCACAAACACAATTAAACACCACAGATAAAAAAAAAAGACCAGGAGCTGAAAAAGGCTAAAATTTCATTAAAATCACATCAAATCAGAGATTTTTTATTTTTAAAGCAACACTGTAACCTTTGACCCAATACTTAGCTTAACTTGATCAATATTTATAGCTTTTTCAGGTCCATTGTTAGCTCTTGGTGCGTATCGCTGCTCCATGAAGGCTGATCTTCTCATAAACACTCCTATTTAACTGTAGGTCGGATCCGTCACTGAATGGGTCATGTGACCCAGAGCGCCGCCTCCCATAAACACCAGAGCTAAACAAGCTAAAGGTTGCTGTTAGCCACCAGAACAGGTCCAGACAGGAACAGGATTTAATCTAGAGGTAAACTAGCTTCCTGTTTTTATAAGGAGCCCCATCATTTCTCAGTCTGCTGGTCCAAAGTGCTCTGATATCAGACGTTTGCCTGGTCCGATTAAACCTGGTAGCTACAGGTAGAGCGCCCCCTGGAGGCTAACAGTGACATGGCATTTAAAAGGCTTCAAACCATTTAAATCTATTATTACTACTCTTCACTGATTCATAATTTCTATCATTTACCATCTGAATTCTATTTTATTTAGGTCTTTATTTGTCAAATTTTTCTATATTTCATAAATTGTTTAGCTAAATATGCATTTTTTTAATCATTCATTAATCATTAATTATCTATCGGTTTGAATTGTATTGTATTTATTATTATTTTTTCCTTATTTCAGTGAAATTTTTACTGTTTTATGTTTGACACTAATTCATTTTTTTTCTTTTTTTTTTTTTTACTTGAATCCCAACATTTCTTTTGAATATTCAGCCTTTTAATACTGTAAACAAATAAAACAGAAGATCATGTTGGATGCAGGCAATCCGCAGCTTGTTTTGGACATTTTAACATTTCTGTCTGTTTATTTCACATAAGAAAAACAACCAACAACAGTTTTCAGTGTTTTCTACTATCTATTATTGTTGATCTAAGTGTTGGGAAGTGGGGCCAGCAGGAGGCAGTTTGAGCTGCTGGTATAAATAAATAAATAAACAGAAAACTGGACGGCCCTATTAGAAATATTGTTCTGCTTTCAACAATCTGTCTTCTTCCAGCTAGTAAACAGAGGACATAGTGGTTCTGTTTACCCGTGACGGTTGATACCGTGGAGTTTATGGTCGGCTCCGCCATCTTGTAGCCCCGCTGTGATGCGATGATGTCAGAGGACAGGCAGAGAGAGAGGTAAGAAAGAAAGAAATTTAATTATTAAAACATCTTCTATTTCACCTTTATCACACAGAAAAACTGAAAAAAGTATTTCCATCCTTACAGATTTGTTTGTCTTATCTTTTTCTAAACACGTTTCAAGGTTTCAAATCATCCAAATGATGTTTATATGAAATGAGGATGATCTTAATAAAATATGAAATGTTTCTTAGATGATAACCAACCATTAGATCATGAATAACTGTTAAAGAAACTGTTTTCGTTTGTGTTTAATTAGCAAGAACCAGCTCTAACTGTTGTCTGAGCTGCAGGATCAACTATTCACTGAAACAGAACCTTTCTGCCAACAAGAAGCAGGCTAAACACATCTCCCACACATCACTGGCTGATAAGACAGAATCTGGAGGATGCCTGGAGTCCAGAGAACTAAAGTTAGAACCATCATCCACTTCTGTGGAGAGGCGGATCCACCAAAGTTACTCTTTGAGCTCATCCAGGAGGTGCAGATTAAGCCAGAGCAACAGCTGAAGCTGTGCAGGCCTCCCTGCTTTGGTTAAGGTCAAAGGTCATGACGCAACTATTAGAGGGAGAGCCTCTGCAGAGATGTCCTCCATGGGAGAGAACCGGTACTGCTGCTGACTCAGATTTAGTAACAACATTCTGATTTTCCATGAGATGATGACAGGAGTGGACTCCTCTGGAAGGCGTAGGTCCAGTTCCATTTTAGAATCAGAACATCGCACTTCTAATCACCTCTGGTTCTGGTGTCATGACGGTCTGCTTTGCTGCTTCAGGACTTCCTTTAGTGAGCAGAACTGTGAGTTCTGTTTGGGTTCTGCAGCGGAACAATAATAAAAAAGGCATGGCAGCAGGTCCACCTCTGAGCGGATAAACACGCTGAATGAAAGGGTTTGACTGGCCTAGTCAAAGCCTGAGCTACTTAAACAGGTGCTTCTCACTGTTAGTGGATTTAAAGAGAAGATTGGATCAAATCTGCTCCACGGTGACGCTAGAGACACCAGTAACTGGGGTTCTTTCACGCCCCATCAGGCTGGTTTAACTAGTTTTTAACTTTCATTTTTGTCCTGATGATAAAATAAGTTTAATGACCTGAAATATTTAAATGTGATAAAAGAAAACCTGAGAATCTGGAAGGAGGGGGGCAGTTTTCCACTGCTCTAATCTGATGGGAGGACGTTTTCAGCAGTGAGTATCCATCTTTATCTCCCCCTTAAAAAGTCATTGGTTGTTAATAAGAGTCTGTTGACTGTTGGGAAGTCTGTCATAGCGCTGAGTTACAATAAACCTTTTATGTCTTTTATTTATTCTCCATCTCTGTTTGTTCCTGATTAACAAACTGATCTAAACTTCAAAATAAAACAATTAAACTAATCATAGATATTAAGCGGACTTTAAGCAGCTCATTAAGAACAAAGTCAGTGACAGTTTGTCTCCGTTTAGGCTACAGCTCAGCGCTTTCTGCTCACATACTCAGTTTGTCCTGCTGAAGCAGCAGAACCTTCAGCATTTAGACACAACAGGAAGCTTTTCCCACCTGCTGCTTCTTTCATTTACCGTCTCTTAAGGTCAGCAGTTTGGGTGTTTTCCCTTCCCACACTTTGGTGGGAGCTAAATAAGCTTCAGATGCTGTCTCTCTCATACACAAGTATAAATCCAACCTATGGAAATGTAAAAATAAGCAGAACATTTATGACACAACCAGGATCCAAACATCAGCTGCTATGGTCTCTATCTGAGCCTCTCAGGTCCAATTATTCCTCTTTCTTCAGGTTTATAATCTACCTGTGATCATGATAAAGATGGAGGTTTGGGTCGGCAGGGAGAACTACAGCCGGCCTCATGGTTCTGGATTAGTTCTAAAGGGTTTCCCGATAATCTTGCTGATCTTTCCCATGTTGTTCAGTCTGTGCTTATTTTGTTTTGGCTGAGGGAATAAACCCGGAAGATTTAACTAAAAACATCAGCAAAGTTTTCATATAAAAGTGTCCCCTGCCCTAGGAGTAAGCAGGACCAGCAGTGTGGAGCTGGCTGAACGTCTCATAGTGACTCACCTCAGCGTTCTCCACGGCAGCCTGCACAGTTTGCTGCAAAAACAAGATGGAGAAAATGAGATGTTTGCCTTAAAAGGCGTTCCCTGGAGGTTTGTCATATCCTGTGGGATCAGAGATCCATCCAAACAGCAGAGGATGAGATTACTGAGCCTCCATAAAAGTATTCACACCCTTTCAAATGTGTTCAATACAAAAACTAACTTCTGTGGATTTTATTCAGATTGTGAAAAAAAAACTGTTTAGTGGAAGGAAACTCTCACTGCTTTCCATCTCTGCATTAAATCTGACCAGCTGCTCCACATCATGATGCTGCCACCACCATGTTTCTCCATAGGGCCGGTGGGTCAGTATTTAACGTTGGTCCCAGACGGTCCAGAGAAGCTGCTTCCACAAAGAGAGGCTTCTAGATCGCCTTCCAGAGCTTTGGGTTTCTGCAGCTCCTCCAGAGGAACCATGGTGTTTAGTACGGTGGCCCGGGAAGTGCAAACCAACAATACAAAATCTGAAACACTTTTACAAATCTTGAAACAACTTTACATTTGAGAAAACAAGTTTACAACAAATGAAACACTTTTACAAATTATAAAAGCAATTTTACATTTCAGAAAACACTTTTACAACTGACAAAATCCGACGGAAAGGGAGGGACTGTCTTCGAAGCTTACCCGGAAGTGATAACCGGAGCGTTCACGATGACCCAAGATGGAAGCTAATCGAGTTGCGTTTTGCTCGTTCTGCGGCACTCATATGAGCAGTTTAACGCGGTTTTGTTTTTCCTGTGGTCGGTCCTTGGAGTTTTTAAATGGTACAGAACAGACGGAAGAACCAGATATGCTGCAGCAGTGCGTACATTATTTTAATGAGGGTCACTCATACGCTGTAATCGTAGACATGATGCCATGTTTACATGGCGTACACATCAGCTTGAGGACTCTGAAAAGCAAACTGAATGATGCCGGTCTTGTGCTAAAATCTGTTCCCCCTGAGTCGGGAGCGCGCATTGCAGCCAGAGAGGCGGATCTCACCATTTTCAAGGCGTTCCTGATCATTTTTCGGTAAAATCAGCTCATATAATCATGTCAACTTTGTAACAAACAGTTTAATCGGTTGCTCTTTTTACAAATTTGTAAAATAAATACATTAACGAGGTCTTCTTAAAGGAATAGTACACCCAAAACATGATTAGCCTTCATTTTCTACTCACCCCCATGCTGAACAACACTCTGGAGTACTTTTTTGATATCTCAAATGCATCTGGAGATCTGGGAGGCTTCTTGCTGTCTGCTGACATTCAAATAATGGAGGTCTATGGCGCCCGAGACAGAAAGGTCCATAAAAGTCCACAAAAAACGTGTCAATATTCCTCCATACTGCTCGTCCAATGTATTCCAAGTGTCCTGAGTGGGTAGCATCCAGAATTTACTCGAAACGAAGTCATTTAGAATGTTTTTAGAGCATAAACAGTAGTGTATAGGATTTCCAAAAAGCGCGTTCACGAGTCTACGGAAACCGCGGCAGACCAAACCAGACGAAAGTGCGCATTCAGCTCGGCAAAGAACTCATGCTCTTCCTCAACACTGAAGTCCTCAGACATTTTTCTTTCGTTGTTTCTTTCTTTGCACAGGTAAACAGCACATTTCTTCTTCTACGCTTGCATTATCGGCAGAGCAGACGCTGAATGCGCACTTTCATCTGGTTTGGTCTGCCGGCTTCCGTAGACTCGAGAACGCGCTTTCAGGAAATCCTATACACTACTGTTTATGCTCTAAAAACATTCTAAATGACTTCGTTTCGAGTAAATTCTGGATGCTACCCACTCAGGACACTTGGAATACATTGGACGAGCAGTATGGAGGAATATTGACACGTTTTTGTGGACTTTTATGGACCTTTCTGTCTCGGGCACCATAGACCTCCATTATTTGAATGTCAGCAGACAGCAAGAAGCCTCCCAGATCTCCAGATGCATTTGAGATATCAAAAAAGTACTCCAGAGTGTTGTTCAGCATGGGGGTGAGTAGAAAATGAAGGCTAATCATGTTTTGGGTGTACTATTCCTTTAAGCTGTTTTGTGTTGTTTTTTTAAACGCCAAGAGAATCGGTATTTCTCCAACTTTTGTCCCTTCAGCCTGACAGAAATAAACGTCAGTCACCAAACAGATTTCCAACACGTAGTGTATTTTTATTTTTTCATTGCTGATATAAAAGGTTGCAAACTGCCTGATAGCAGGGCACACACATTAGAATTTCTGGTTAATCCCCTTCTAATGTAAAATATGAAATATTACTGGATTAAGGACATTTCTAGTATAACATTTCACACATATCAATTTTAGAGAAATTGGAAACAGTTGCTCTTTATTTCCCAAAGATGTGGGAGGAGGAGAGGAGAGAATGGATGTTTCAGCTGACTGAAATAATGTGTTCCCCTCCATAACAGGGGAAGAATTAAATGTACCTGCAGGTCTTTAACTGTGTTTATTCCTCTCACCACCAACAACAGATTATTTCAGTAAGCTGAAATATATGGTTCCCCTCCTTTAATTTTTGCAAATAAAGAGTAAATTTGACCAAATCCACAGGATTTGTTGTTGATGGTGAGAGGAATAAACACTTCCGGGTAAGCTTCGAAGACAGTCCCTCCCTTTCCATTGGATTTTGTCAGTTGTAAAAGTGTTTTCTGAAATGTAAAATTGGTTTATAATTTGTAAAAGTGTTTCGTTTGTTGTAAATTTGTTTTCTCAAATGTAAAAACACATCAGGTTTCCTTAACTTTTAGACAAAGACAAAGACAAAGCACCATTTTCCTTCCACTTCAAAATTTTCCACCAAAAAGCAATTAGCAAATAGAATAATCTATTATTTTTTAGATTAATAATCAGATAGCAACCAGGTGAAACTAAAACTTTTCCTCATAAGGAGTTCTAGATGGAGCAGATTCACAGACAGAATATTTTTTTTAAATCTTAAATGCAAAAAGCTTATATACTTTTTAACAATTGTGATATAATTGCTGCTCTAAGTGGATTTCTCTGTCAGCTCAAGGCATGTTTTCGAGTCTCTATACTCCAGTTAACGATTAACCGATTGCTAAATTAGTTGACGATTATTTTTAATAATAATTTGTGTTGCCTTATGACATCAGTTCCTTTTGAAAAGCACTGAGTTGCAGAGGTTTCTTCTTTAGTTTTTTGACAAAACAAATTTTTTGAAGGACATTTATTTCCTGGTGTTGGTTTCTTTAGATCTATATTTGTTAAATCCAGGTGGTGGGAATCTTTTCCCACCCATAAACGGACTGATGTGACCCACCTGACACAGGCCGGTGTACGGCTCAGCCCATTTCCTCAGCGATGCAACGCTCTGCTCCAGCTGGCCTGCCGCCGCCTCCTCCACCGCTGGCTTAGATTCAGGCCTGGTGTACAGAGAGGGCAGCTGAAACGACCAGCAGAGACGTCTGTTTAGAAGCTGGAGGCGTTTGTTCAGACCTTCAGCTGCCTTCAAAAGTTCTCATCAAGTTCAGGTCCTTCAGCCAACCACAAACATTCCCCTACTGGGCTAACAGCAATCCTGATAATAGAGGTGATCCAAACACTGACCTTTGATACATACAGAGGGGGGGTTAAATCCTAAAGTTAAGCTATGATTAAACATTATGAGGTTCCTGGAAAAATCAAGATCGTTAAAACAAAAAATCAAAGAAAGATGCTAACGGTTTATCTAAGATTGACTGCAAAGTTTTGCTTATTTAACAGCTGCCAGTCGGTTTCCATCTAATGTTTCATTCTAGATGCTGTTTCATTTTCTTAGGTGTGCGTCTCCAAGTCTGCTTTTATGCATTGCTGGTCTTTTCCTCTGTCAGCTTTTATGGGGCAAAAAATACTCCAACAGATCTAGATATATATTAAATGCTAATGATGTACCAGAGAAATCAACCAACCCAATATAAACGCCTCTAAACTAAACCTTCCTCATCAGAAAGGCCATCAGGGACACTACACTGTGACCACAAGCCTAGTGGTGTGTAACACAGATCATTGCTCAGAGCTCATGGATCCAAAACAGACATTTTAAAATTCCAGACTGCAGTTTTTTTCTTTACTTTCTGGAAATTCAATGACAAAATATCTGCTTTTAACCTCCTAAATGGTAATCCTAGCACTGGTTTCAATGGTTGCTTTATTCGGTACAAGAAAAGACAAAACACATGAGGGGACGCAGTGTCCTGCTGCTGCTAAAGGAGCAGCCTTTACATCAGTTAAATGCTGAATGATGTAATCCAAGGTGGTAGAGGACCAAAATAATCTAATCAAGTTAAAGGAGAACTACTTCAATATATATATTTATACTCAGGTTAAAGTAAAAAGTAAGCAACCAATAAATTACTCACTTAAGAGTAAAAAAGTACTTGGTAAAAAGTAATGAGTAGATGTTTGTTTAAAATGAAGTAAATCAGACAGACCATACTAAAAATATATGTAGAAATAAATTTTGTTTTAAAGACTAAAGGAGAAGAAAAATGGATTCACGTAGAAGAAATACTTCTTAAAATCTCTTTTCTCACTATATAACATTGAACAATTTCTTAAAGTATGTCAAGTTTGCATGATTGAACAGAGTACTCTACCTCTATTGGCAATAATGACTTTTTATGTATGTTTTATTGTGTATTGTTTTTCTGTATTTTAACTTAATCTTGACGTCGCAGCGGATAAAAGTAACAATAAAACAATAAAGATGGTGTACAAAGATTAATACTTTAGTAAATTGTATTTTCTCTGTCTGGTGCATTTTAGGTTTAACTGGGGTTCTTTTTCCAGTAAAGTTAAACATTTATCAAAGACTACTGGAGCATATGGAAGATGATTAGGGCCACTGAAAAAATAAAACAATTTTCTCTGATTTTTAAATTTTACTTTAGTATAATATGGGGGGAAAATTCTGAGAAAAAAAGTCAGAATTCTTAGTTTAATATCAGAATTCTGACTTTTTTTCTGAGACTTTTCTCCCATATTATAGGCAAGGCAAGGCAAATTTATTTGTATAGCACAATTCAGTACAAAGACAATGCAAAGTGTCTTACGTGATTAAAATACAGGAAAATAAAACAGAATCTAAGCAAGTAGGGGAAAAAATAAAATAAAATAAAAAATGCAGAAACAAAAAAGAATATTAAAAACAAGAAAATAAAAAAGTTGAACTAATGATGTTTCAGTATATTATAGTGAAACAAAATTTAAAAATGCATTTAACTTTTTTTTTTTTGTGGCCCTAATCCTCTTCCGTAGGAGCAAGAGTAGATATATTTTAGGATCATTTTACTTAAATAAAAGAAAAAAGTATGGTGCAGTAAAATTATTACTTTGTGTTTTTCTACTTTTAGACCAAATGAAAGATTGTGAAAAACAGAAAAAAAAAAGAAAGTTTATCATAAATGACTTCCATAATGTAAACACCTCGTCGATGCTCAGGACAGGCTGGGAACTCTTCTTCTTCGCCTCGCTGGCAGCCAGCACTGAGCCGCCCATCAGAGCCGTTACACCGGGAGCCGCGGCAAACAGTGACACCTGGTGGATTACACACGCATGACAGCAACACGCAGATGCGAATCTAACATCCTCTGACGTTTTTTATCTCCAGTTTTATTAGAAAACTCTCCGACAAGTACGCGAAAATAATTTACACAGTGAAATATTCAAACATTTACATCCGGGCTCCTTAGGATTTAAGAGTTAGCGAAAGGAGCTAGCTACATGCTAAAGTCACCGCGGAAAATATTGGTAAGACGATCTACAGAGAACGAAATTAGACCCTCATATCGCAGCAATTATGAAAAGGAAATGTAAGCTGTAAAGACTTCTAGAAAGACGTTCAGCATAGTTACCAGTTTGACAGATGACATTCTCATCCAGAAGACTTTTCCTTCACTACGGCAAGCCACGAGGGATTTGCGCATGCGTGTTTTGAGAAAGGGAAAAATTACATTTACGTGACTTTTTATTTCAGATGGTTTTTTTTTGTTTGTTTTTTACACTTTTAAATATATTATTAAGGCTGTTTTTTTTATTTAAGATTTTTATTTCTGAGTTTTTAAAAATAAATTTGTTGAGTGAAGCATTTTTTTCAATGCCTCCACAGTATTTTTGCTTTGCTTGTTGGCAGATCTTTTCTTTTTATATTTATATTTATAGCAATGCATAGTTTAATGCCCGTTTGAAGAGATTTTATACCCACTGCACAGTTTGCACAGCACTGGCTGCAAATAATTGCATTAGAAGTGATTGTAATTCTACAAAGAACACAAGGGTCAGATCAGTTTGGGTAAACATTGGTTCAGACATTTAAAAGAAAAGAGGAAAGTCCTGTTTCACATCAACAGACCAGCTTCTGAGACAGTATGATCAAATGGTTTCCTCCTGAACAAGAGCATCACCATCTGTAAAGATATTGTGGAACTGGGCTTTTAAAGGCTGGATTCTTCATTTTCTGGAGCTCTAAGCAGGCTCCAGGTAATCAGATTTTTTAAAGTGGTGTCCTGGGTGTGTGGTAGAGGTAGAGCACATAGAACACATATGGAGGCCTTCAACACAGCATTCCTGGGTTTAAGTCCTGACCCCTAGAGACCTTTACTGCATATCCTCCACATATTCCCTATTACACCACACACAAAATAAAGGCCACTTGTGTAAAGGAAAAAAGTCACTGTCCTACAGCTTAAGATTACTTTTAAACAATTTGGATTATTGTTTTGTGTTTGGATGTTTAAAAAAAGGGGTAGTGGTGGCCTAGTGGTTAGAGCTTGTGCTCTGAGAGGGTTGCAAGTACCTGGTTTGATCCCCGAACTCTCCACTCTGGGTTCCTGAGCAAGACCCTTAATGCAACACTGCTCCCCAGGTGCTGCACAATGTCTACCCACCCCTTCCTAAGGGGATGGGTTAAATGCAGAATGTTCATTTCATTGCTCTGTACTTGTGACATTGTAATGACAATGAAGTTAAATTCCATTCTAAAATGAAAGATTATATTGTTGTACCAAGTCATTGAATCAGAAGGATTGCTTTCAAGTCAGCGAGTCAATGCAACCAACTGGTTTTCCTTAGATAGAAAACTTTGACTGGATGAAGATTTGTTGTGAATTGATGCTGTATAAATGAAGTGAATTGAAACTGAATCTAATCAGTATCAGTTTAGTCTGTCAAACAGGCTGCATGTAGCAATTTTAAAGGTCCAGCAAGCAGGTGTCAGTATTGAGTGACGCAGCATCAATAATTTGGCAATGTGTTGAAAGACTTCATGGCGCCTCATCAACCAATCACTACTTTAAACCATGACTGCAGTTCTATTCTAGAAAGGTATTGTTGTACATTTTACCCTTATATGAATTAGTCAGAATTGAAAACCAAACAAACTTTTTTCTAAAGACTTTTAAAAGTGAAAAGTCAATTGAAAACAGAGTATGCTTTAGACACTGCTCAAAAAATAAAGAGAAACTGTAAAAACAACAATTCAACTTTAATAAAACTTCTGTGAAATCAAACTGCCCACTCAGTAAGCAATGCTGATTGACAATCAATTCCACATGTTGTTGTGTAAATGGAATGGACAATATATGGAAATTATTGGGGATTAGCAAGACATCGGGCAGATGATCTCGTCACTTTTGAATGTTAGTGCTTTCACACTCGTGGTAGAATGAGACGGACTGTACAACCCACACAAGGGGCTCAGGTAGAGCAGTTCATCAAGGATGGCTCATCAATGCGAGCTGTAGCAAGAAGGTTGTGTCTGTCAGCGAACTATCCAGAGTCTGGAGACAGGCCAGTACAACAGGAGACATGGAGAATGTCGTAGGAGGGTAATAACCCAGCAGCAGGACTGCTACCTCCACCAGGAACAGGGGCACTGCCAGAGCCCTGCAAAATGACCTCCAACAGGCCACAAATGTCTATGTGTTGGCAAAAATAGTTACCAAAAAACGATTCCATGAGGTTGTTATGAGGGCCTGACATCCACAGAAGTCGGTTGTTCTCACAGCCCACCAGCAAGCAGGATGCTTGGTATTTACCAGAGAACACCAGGACTGGCAAATTCACCATTCTACAGAGGAAAGCGGGTTCACACTGAACATGTGAATCTGGAGAAACCATGATCTGCTGCCCTCAAACTCCTTCGGCACGGCTGGTTTGGCAGTGCGTCAGTGTTTGTATGGAGAGCGATTTCTTTGGAGGCCACAGCACCCCATGTACTTAGCAGAGGTAACATGACTGCCATTAAGAGATGAGATTCTTAGATCCCTTGTGAGACCATATACTGTATGCAGGTGAAGATTCTCTGTCATCTGGGTCATAGTCGTTCCAAAAAAGTAAAAAAAAAAAAAAGATCAAATGGACTCTGTTTTCAAGTTTGAAGACGTTTCCCTTCCCATCCACAAAGACTTTTCAATTCAAAATGTCATAAATAGCATTGAGTTTGAGGCTCTTATACATTAGCCCAACAAATCCTTTACAAAAGATACAAATTGGAACGGACGAATAGGTCCACCCCTTTGGAATAGGGGGTCGTTTGGCTTTAAACGTCCTGGGTTCCTTCTAATGCAGGACAATGCTAGACCTCATGTGGCTGAAGTGTGTCAGATGAAGGCATTGAAGCTATAGACTGACCCAGCCATTCCCCACACCTGCACCACTAACCTGTCCAGGAGTAGGTGGACGCTTTAGTCCAGGTCTGGGAGCAAATCCCTGAGGAGACCATCTGTCACCTCATCAGGAGCACACCCAGGTGTTTTAGGGAGTTCATGCAGGCATATAGAGGCCACACACAATACTGAGCCTCATTCTGAACTGCTCTAAGGAAATTAAATCAAACTTAGATCAGATTGTAGGATTTTCCACTTTAATTTTGCGTGCGACTCCAAACCCAGGCCTCTAGTGGTTAATAAATTGGATTTCCATATTATGATTTTTGTTGTCAGCACATTCAACTTTGTACAAAACAAATTATTCAATATGAATATTTAATTTATTCAGATCTGACTGTTCCCTTTATTTTTTTGAGCAGTAGAAATAGAATTAGAAATACTATGTTAGAGTCTAAACCTGATCGCTTTTCTGATTGGTTGAAAGATTAGAACATTTTTGTGAATTTTAATTCAAACTTAAAAAAAAAAAAAAAAAAAAAAAAAAAAAAAACCTACTGGAGTTACATAATAAAATGTCCCTTATTGTAACTATTATAAAATTTAATGGTTCAATTTTTTGGAAATTGCTTAAAAATGAATAAAACCATTAGAAAAGACAGGTAAACAGGTACAGCTTGACCAGTATGAACATTTATTTCTGGAAAGAAGTTACAAATCGTTTCCAAAGAGTTTCTACTCAGAGTAAGATATGTTATTCAGATTTATCGATTCCCCCTGCAGACAGTTGAATAAGCATTGTGAGTTTTTGTTTCTAACATCCTCTCTTCCATTTTCCTTGTGACCGGCTAGAGACTGGTGGACTATAGATGCTGCTCTGTGTCTGCATGGTCCTCAGACAGGGACAGATGGACTCTTGGTTACATGTTTCTTCTTCAAACAGCAACATGGAAACCGAGCATTGTAATGACAGAGACGTGGTTTATGGGCTTTTTATTAAACCAGCTGCAGAAACTGTGATGAATGTGAAATGTAAAGGGATGAAACACTCAGGAATGTTTGTATAAAAATAAATGCATGAATAAAAGCACCCAAATGATGATTTGAAATGTTCAGAACCAGAGAATGTTTACTCCAAAATTCCTGATATATAATTCACACCTAGACTACGGTAAGCAAATAAGTTGTACTGAAGAGTTATCTGCATTTATGCTTTTCCAGTTTGCTAACTTTACTGACCCTTTACAAAACAATGAACTAAATAAACGGGAGCATCCACTTGTAGATCACATGCACTGCAGGGACGGAGATGCCAAACTGCAAAGGACGGAAGACGACGTACAAAAATATTTGAACAGAACCGGGCTTTCAATGAAACATTCCTAATACTGTTACTGCATAGCTCAGGGGGAAAAAAACCAACAACTTCATAAAATAAATAAATACGCAGCGGACAGATGTGACTGCATCGTTATTTGCTCTAGCCCTTTTCACAGCGCAAAACTAAAATAAAGCTGGTCGTCAAACACAGCTACGTGGCTTATTGAATCAAGGTGTTAGGCTGTTCAAACGTGCAAGCTTTATTCTAAGACAGCAGTGGGATTAAATCTAAAAAAAAAAAAGAAAACAGTGCTAAAGATAACTTGGTCTGAAATGAAAACAGCTCTCAGTCAGTAAAAACCTACAGAATCTGTTGAAATAAAGGCTGGTAATCATTAGCAGAGGTTAATTACCAATGGACCTCAAACAAGAACATTTTAACATAGAAAACAGTTTGAAAAAGCAGTTAAAGATCTGAATTTCAGGGGTAAAAAAAATGCTAAATCCTTTATTTTCTTTCACTCAACTAGTCAAACATTTAACTGTTTCTTAATAAAGATGTTTCATTTATTGAACAAGTCGCACAAACATAAAACTGACCCAAAGTACTAAGCAGCTGTATCCAAAACGCCAACCAAATAAACAATCATAAATTAAAATATGAAAATATTAGACTATTCACCAGCATAAAATGCCTCATTTGAAATAAATCAAGATATCAAGCTAAATACCTTTGTGTGGACAATTTTAAAGCTAATTTGAATTAAACTTTTTCCCATATCTCATATTTCATGTAATTTAAATGTCATTAAACAACACAAGTCTCTACATAAGTTAAGCACAGTTACAGTATTTGATAATGGTGATTACATTTTTGTTGTTTTTATTTTAAATTTTAACATATTTTACAGGAAAGAATATCCTACCGTTATAGAGCTAGTCAAGTGAAAGGCAGCTGCTAACCTGAGTGCAGCTAGCTAAAGCTAAAGCAGCTTGTTTTAATTATTTTCATAAATATGAAAGTTAAATTGTACTGTAAAGCATACTAATCTCATGCCAACCTTTTTTTTCTTTTGTTCTCTTTCTTTTTCAGATGCAATGCTTTAAAACTACACCTATTTAAACAATTTTTGTGCTTTTTCTTGTAAGTTATAAACACCCGTAATCAGCTAATTTGAGGAGAGTAGTGTGAAAGCTAACAGCAGTTAGCTGGAACTGAGGCTGTTATGTTTTACCGGTATTTGTTTGGTTTTTTTCTGCAGCTATATTGGTTTCATAGAAATGTATTAAATCATTTAATACAATTACAAACCAAACAAGATACAATTTCTTTGTTTTAAATACAAAATTGTTTCATAGTTTCAAAACACATAAAAGCCAACTGTTTGTTAGCATAAGCTAAAGCTAGGTTTATCAAAAGATTTTCTGCCATTATCTAGCGTTTTAAACTTTCACTGAGTGAAAATTATATCGATTTGGTTCTTTTACATAGTCATTTTTGCAGTTAAATTAGTTTATAATGGAAAAGAAATAAAATAGCTTATCAGAGTAACAATGCTACTCGCACCATCTTTCCTTTGTTCTGATGATAAAACTTTGATTTAACCACATTAAATTCTTACATTTATTTTATACATTTTTAACTTTACATATTACATTTATTAATCAATGAGGAAACTTCTTTGCAAAAAAAAAAAAAGCAAAAAAACGAATAAACGTTTAAAGCTGAATCGATATAAGATAGCTGCAGGGACCAGCTGCTAATGCTAACTTTGGCATATTTTGTTTCAATTTATGCTATGCTAACTAAAATGATAAAACATTAAATTATGCTGGTTATTTTCCCGGTTATTTTATATAGTCAACTAAAGAATTAGGTATATTCATTTAATTAAAGGCAAATCAAGTCTGAACCAATTGATGAATTAGCTGTGGCTAGCATTAGCTAAAGCCAGGTTATATTCACCAACTTACACATTTTTGCAATGAATTCACTTATATGCTTTGTTAGTAAAATGTTTTGTAAATGGTAGATATTTTGGTCTTCAAAATATAATTAGGAATACTTTAATAAAGCAATTGGAAAACTAATCAAAGTAGATGAGCTATTTTTTTTTTGCAGACAGAAAGCAATGGTTTAAATTTTGAGTGGACAGTTATGCTTCTATCACAAAGTGTAAAAATGTATCAAGCAGATTTTAAATGGTCATTCATCTAACATTATAATGGTTAGACATTAACGGATTATTTTGTTGATATTTTGAAAAACCTTAGGTTAAACCAATGGAAAAGAACATTTCAAAAAATGCCCTTATAATTTATCCCAGCAGTGAAAACACAAAACAATTTCAGTCAGGTGGAGAATAAATGTTGAGTTTCTTCTAATAGAAAATGTTCTTGAATGAGGTCCAGATTTATTGAAATGCCCAAAAATCCCACATCTTATTTCAACCAGGGAACATTTTTCCTTCATTTAAACTCAGAGAGTAATTCTAGACGCAGTGAAATTCCTCCAGCGATACAGTGCAGCTACACTATTTACACTCACATTATGAACCAATAAAGTGCTGGGAATGTAAACAAAATCAAACGTACAGCAGCTCAGCCCCTAACCTGTGTATTATCTATCATATAATGGATCCCTCCCACACACACACACACACTTTCAAGCCGTTTCACAGAAGGCAGCAGGGGAGCGTAGAAAGACACGTGATGCAGTGTTATATATGACCATGAGCACAGTACGCTGGATATCTGGAATCAAAGAGCAGAACTGGGACTAAAAGCTGGAACGCACTGGAAGCAAAAAAAAAAAGGGAACCGTAATGAGTTTAAAGCTGGTGGCAGACCACGGCATCAGCAGGATCCGATGCATCATCTGTTGTACGCCTTAAATAGTTTCCTACCGACTGCTTCTTTATATTTGGAGACGGATTATACAATCAGCTACACTACCGAATATAGTGCTATACTTATTGATATTAATTTTGTAGGGATTTAAAGTAGTGGTAATATTTCTGCTAATCTATTTAAAGAAATATCTTGGTGTACGAGCCTCTGGAAGCGAGCAGAGATTTCTGTGACTTGTGAATTTGCTGGACTCGGCCGCTTCCAGTGCGTTTCTGCAGCAAGCCTGACCGGGCCTAAACAGAATTACTGGTGATTATAGACGCAGTCCGTAACACAAACCAGCAGAATGAAACCTGTTTTTTTTTTTGTATCCGCCCTGACATCATTTTTTTCCTTTAACCTTCTGAGAAATTGGTGGTTGTGAAAATGTTCAACTGACTGGTTAAATGGGAGGCCTGGTAAAAGCGCAGGTCGGCTGCCTTCATTGGTAAGGAGGAACGACTCTGCGGCCGCAGCCCCTTTCCTCACCCTACGGAAAGTGCTGGTCTCTGGTTTAAAAGATCAGGGCATGCCCACCCGGTGGGACGCCTCGGTTCTGGAACAGTCTGTATAAAACGAGCCGCGGCGGGGGAGCAGACCTCAGCTGCAGCGTCTGACGTGCTCCAGCACGTACTCTGGAAAGTGTAGGCTGCAAACCTGCAGACCGTCCAGTTTGCAAGGCATCCTGGGATACTCGTCCTCCTTCCACTTGTTTTCATCGGGGTCGAAGGTGAGGATGGAGTCACTGTAGTGGCCGTTGTAGCAGAGGCCGCCCAGCACCATGATCTGCCTGTCCAACACCGCCACCCCATGGCCGCTGCGCCCGATGGGCATGGAGGCCAGGATGGTCCACTCGTCCGTCTCCGGGTCGTAGACCTCGGTGGACGGGCAGCCCTGTGACTCGAAGGACGCTCGCAGGATTACACACACCCCTCCGAACACGTACAGCTTCCCGTTGTGGGAGATCATCTTGTGGAAGCAGCGTGCGTAGTTCATTTTGGATTTGTTCTCCCAGCAGCTGGCGTGGGTGCCGGGCAGCAGCGAGCCACGGGCCGCGCGCGTCCTGTGAGAGTCCGAGCCACCAGCACCACCACATCCTCCTCCACCGCCGCCGCCACCTGCCTCCCGGCCCGGATCGAACACACACACCTGTTTGGAGGTGGAGGAGGACGTGATGCCACCTGTGATGTACAGTTTGCCGTTTAGGACGGTTCCCTCATGGCCGTATTTATTAACAGGATACGGATCCACAAACTCCCAGCGGTCTTCTGTGATGTCGTAGCGCTCCGTCGAGTAGAACGTCTCGTCACGGGTGCGACCTGCCACAGCGTAAATGAACTTTCCGATGACTCCCACGGCGAACTCTGACCTATGAAACAAGGCAGCATAAGGAGAAGGTCATTTTACAGAAACACTTAGGCCCCGTCCACACGAAGCCTAAACGCACAAACTTTTCACCAAACCAGCCTCTCATCCACACGAAGCCGGCGTTTCGGGGGTCTGTAAACGATCTTTTTTTTATTCA